CCCCAGATCCTCAAATTCGCATTCGTTGCCAACCAACGAACTTCCTGGTGGTTGTCATCGATCCCGTCTGCAGGCACTGGGATCATGTCGTCTAACTCAACATGTTCTTTCCCCCGCCCATTACTTAGTCGAAGCTCCAGTTGTGCCGCAATTTTGACCAAGGAAAAGGGGCTTTGTTTACAATAATTTTAAATATACCCTCATAGCAACCCCGGGAAACTCTCTTAGCTTCGCTGTGATATAAAGACTTCAATTAAGCAAATGCATCGACAGCTTTGCTCTTTCCCTGCAACTATGATGTTTGTCGAAGACGAATTCGTAGAAAACACGAACTTGCCAAATCAATTCACCACGAAACCCACTTAAACGAGATCAGACAATTAAGTACAGGATTTGGCATTATTAAATGAATCTATGTACGTATTGCCAACAGTTACATGCAATGATAATTAATATACAAGTATGAACATATCGATCCTCATCGTTCTCCATCCTTTCCAATGCCGTCACTTAAGTCGCTGCCCTCCCGTCTTTAAAACAACCACGCTCCAACCAAGCTAAGCACACTAGTAAACACCACCGACCCTGACAAGCTAACGATGGAACCCATAGCCGTCTGGACGGGCGGGCGAGCAGTCTTGGTGGTATTAGACCCCGCGCCACCAGACGACGCAACAGGGCCGGTTTCCGTGATCGTCGTCGGTATAGTGGAACTGGACTTCGCGGCAGCAGCAACACTAGCAGCAACGCTAGGAATACCGACTACGACTAGCGTGGAAGCGGATGGCTTTACACCACCACCGGCGCCGCTACCGCCGCCGGCAGTCACAGACACGGGCACACTGTGCGTAGTACCAGGAGCAGGTGCAACTGCACTCTTCGTGCTTGGACCAGACGCAGGAGCAGGAGCAGCTGGGCTTTTATCCTCGTGGCCAACGTGAGGAGCGGCAACAGAGGAGGAAGACGGATGAACTGCCGCGCCAGTGACGGCAGGCGGCTTCACTCCGCCTCCGCCGCCGGTGCAGCGGCCGCAGGGAAGGGTGAGGACAGTGGTGGATGTCACGACGGATGGAGTGACGGTGGTGATGTGGGCGGCTGTGCCGTCGTGGGTTTGGGTGATGGTCACGGGGCAGTACGTCGTGAACAGGGTTACACTGGAAGATGGACAATTAATGCATTGTCCTACTGGGGATTGAGACAAGGATAACGTGGGGGAACTTACATGGACGTTACCACCACAGGCTCATCAGATGGGTCAGATGGATGTCCAGTCGCGGAGGTACCGGGGGAAGTTGTTGCTGTCGAGGAAGCGGAAGTCGAAAGGGAAGAGCCGACACCGCTGCCACCGCCACCGCCACCGCCAGTGCCAGTGCCAGTGCCGGGCGAGGTAGTACTCGTTGAAGAGTCGGAAGATCCACCGCTGCCACCGCCAGTGCCAGTGCCGGGTGAGGTAGCAGTCATCGACGAAACGGAAGACCCACTACCGCCACCACCGGTTCCGGGAGAACTTGTGGCCGAGGCAGAAGATGACTCAGTGCTGCTGATAGGAACAGACGACGAAGTCGATGACTCACCAACTGCCGTACTCAACGCCGTGCTTGACGCTGTGCTAGATGCCGTCGAGGATGCCGTCGACGACGAGGCAGTAGACGACTCCTTAGGCGGCTCGGGCACGTACTTCCCCGCCAGCTGGACGGAGAACAAGCACTCCACCGAAGTCGCCGCACCCTCGACAGTCGCAGAAATAGTAAGCTCCAGCTTGGCGGCACCAGGGCTGGTGTACCGCAAGACCTCCGGACCAGTAAACTCGACATTTCCCACCGAAGTCGCCGACGCCACATCCACCAGCTCGGCAGAGAACGAGCACGCCGACACGGCGTTGAAGTCGAGCTGGATCTCCTCGCCGGCCTTGGCCTCGTAACTGAAATAGCTGGCCTGGCGGGGATCGGACACGAGCCCCATGTTACCCAGCCCTTTCTTGAGCGGGGACGCGCTGCTGCCGGCGTCAAAGGCGCTGAAACCGTTGGTGAGGACCAGGTTGACGAAGGCCTGTTGGGCCTCGGCCGAGTTGATGGTCGAGTACACGCCGCCAGTCTTGAGGATTGCGGCGGTGACCTCGTTGTTGGATGTCTGGCGGGCAGCCACACTTCGCTTGTTCTTGGTGACGACTACGGGAGACAAAAAGCCATACGACACCTTGATGCCCAGAGTAAAAGCCCTGGCGAGCTGGAACAGGCGGTTGGCCGTGTACGGGTCCTCGCCGTCGGTGAGCACCACGATGCCCGAGCGGCCGCGCGTCTTGTACTTTGTGTCCTTGACAATCTCGTCGATGGCCTTCTGGATGCCCGAGGCGATGTTGGTGTTGCCGTTGGAGTCGATACCGGAGAAGCTGGCGCCCGACGGGTCGCCGAGCGGGTAGATGACGGTGGCGTAGTCGTCAAAGTCGACCACGGTGACGAGATCGGGCTTGGCGTTAGGGATGGTGGTCACGTCGGCGGCCTTGATGAGGGACCTGTTGATCTCGATGGCGGCCGAGATGCGCAGGTTGTTGGGGTCGGTCCATATGTTGGAGCCCGAGCTGTCGACCACGATGCCGATCTTGCGGCCGTTGCAGTCCTCCTGCGGGTCGTCACGGGTGAGCGCGCAGATGATGCGTGCGCCCTTGGTCTCGCCGTGCGTTTCGATGATCTGGTCGCGGAAGTTGCGCCACTGGCGGCGAGTCTCGCTGATAGCGAGGCCGACGGCGCGAGCAAAGTTGTTGTTGATGCCGGCGCGGGGGCCCTTCTCGGGCTCGGGGCTCGTGGCAACGCCGGACACGGGGTCGATCTCGCCGCCGTCCTTGTTCAGGCTGTTGTGTGACACGCGGCCCAGGCAGGACCCAACACCCGGCGTCTCGTCGTCGCTCTCCCAGCACCCCGTGGTGAGGTTGTACGGGATGTACGGTGTTCCGGTAAAACGCGAGTCGAGGAACGAGGCTAGGAAGGTGAAGCCCAAGCCGGGAGGATTCGTGACCGAGATGGGGAGCTGGTCGTTGGGCAAGTCGGCCCAGTTGCTGTGCGAGTAGAAATCCTGGACGCCGTGGAGAGCTCGACCGAAGCCGAGAAGGGCCGAGCACTTGGCGTTGCTGGACGTGACGCCACTGCTCCAGCTGCATCCCGATACTGGGATCTTGACCGCGTCCGGCTTGATGTAGCCTTCGTCGTCGAGAATACCGCCCGCCGCCGTGATGCCCTCGTTGAGGCGGCCGTGGATGTGCGAGATGCATCCCTGCAGCACAACCGTGGCCGCAGCACGAGTCTGGGGATAGTTTGGGCTGGGGAAGAAATCGGCCATGTCACAATGCGCCTCATGGCCCTCGAGGTTTGTGCCCCAGTCGACGGGGCTGTCAGGGTTGCCCACTGAGCCGAAGGTTCCCACATGGCCGGCGATTTGGTCTATCGTCTCGGAGCTGAAGCAGTTTCCGCTGACCACGCCGTCAGGGCAGGCAAGAGAAGCCCTGGTGATCTTCTCATGCTCGCGGTTGTTGTGGAAGGTGCCCGTCGATGTTCCGAACCCGAGCGTCACTGCTGGGAAGGCCGAGAGAAGAGCCAAGATAGCGAGGGACGCCATTCTTATTCAGTGCTCCGTAACGAGGGAGAGCTCCGAGAAAGTGAGTGTCTGGCCGCGAGGATACCGAGGGAAAAGGAACAGACAAAAAGAAGAGAAAAGCCGCCCTTTTTGGTCATCTCGCTCTTCCGACCTGAGCCTCGCATTTTGCACTACTTCGTCATCGCCCAGTGTTTAAAATGAGACACCGCAGCGAGGCAGACACTACCAGCTAGTTGAGGATTCAGTACATGGAGGAATCTCGAGTGCTTTGCTTGGTGTCCACTGTGCAGATGCATCATAAGGGGCTAGGGACAATTAGCCACTGTCTTGGCCTCGATAGCGCCACGAGAACCCCAGGAGTCCAGGCTCCTTTTACGCGCTTGAGGCGAGGTCGCTAGTTCATGGCGTGAGGCCAATGGGAGCAAACCTGAAAGACCCAAGTATTGGCTTGGCGCTAGGGCTGACACCACAACAGAGGGGCATCTAGGTTTAAGAGGTCACATCCGCTACTAATTAACCACAAAGTGTGAGCCGCATAGAACCTTGGCAAGTCTGTGCCGCTGAGTTATGTAAACGGAAAACCAGGAAAACGCGGGGAAGAAATGATCCGTATTGTCCAGAATGCCCTGCCTTGCCCAGTCCCGAATCCTGATCAGTACCGAAAACGAAGGTCCCGCTTGGCCGGAAAGAGGCACCTTCGCGACTATAGGGGTCAAAGTATCCACTCCGACCGCCGAAAGAGGTTGAAGATGAATGGAACCATCTTGGCGAAGGAAGTCAGGACTCAGTAGGTCCACAAGGAAGCTACCTGGGTAGGGTCGCCAAAAGTATCCAGTTAAATCATTGTGTCGCGTGAAGAACCGACGACTTCCAAGTCGAATGAGTGATATCATCCAGCTACTTTGAGCTTGTAAGGGTCGCCAAAATAATCCAGTTAATTCATCTGTTCGCGTTAATAACCGACGACGCCCAAGTCTGAGTGATGTCATCGAGCTACCTTACACACTTTGAACTTGTCAAGAAAGCGGGCACATTCATATCAAGGAGAATCTTTCCACTTTTCAATACTATTATGTAAACCGAAGTACAATGACACAAATCGCAATTCAACTTGGCGAAAACACAACAACTTTCAAGCTAGAGCCAGCTCGAAACAACAGATGAACCTCGCTTCCCACCTGAGTTCCACCTCAAGCTAGGATGAGGCACTTTCATCTCAACTTAAGTTTAAGGTTGAGTCTAAACTTCATCGTTTCACCAAAAGTACGAATAGAAGAAATGTTCAAGTTAAATCCTCACTCATTGCGTGTCATTGCGCGAGCATACTTACATACCTGCATGCAAGCATATCGTCTATATCTATACACTTAACGCGGAGCATCTTAGGATATAAGAGATAAAAATACTACGCTCGATCGAGCTGGGACTCGAACCCAGAACCTTTGCCAACTTAGAATATTGACTCGAAGTTGATACTTTAAGTCACGTGACCGGAAGACAACGCGCTACCATTGCGCCACCCGACCCTCAGCTGTCGCAGATAGTTTTTCGTCTGAAAATAAGCCTGAAGTCGAACAAATTGGAGCGTTCGGATGGATGTAACTCAAAATTTCGGGATGAGCCGTTTTTATTCATCGCAGCGATAATACATTCTTAAAGTGGATGACATCGTCAGCCGCCAATGAACGACTTCACACGCATGGAAATGTCGACACAACTTTAATGATAGTACTGATCAGCTAAAAGTCTATTAATCATTCTTACAAAGGTCATTTTATTTATCCAAACGCCAAACGATCCATTATAACCCGACGTCCCCCCAATTCCCCAGTATCTTCATTCGTTAGTGGTGTGCAAATCATTCTAGATATCCTCCTCAAAATTCGGAGGCGGCGTCGTAAATCCAGGCCTCCTCCCCACGACAAATCCAGCCGCATACCCAGCCGCAGTATTATTAGGATTAACATTAAAGTACGTCGTCGGCGCGCCGCCTACCCACCCCGATGACTCCGGGCTAGTCGTGAAGCCCGCCGGGCTCCTTTCCATCGGGCTGAAAATCATGCCGTCCATGTCCTGGCCGTATTCGCTCGTCGTTGCTGAGCCTCCTGCATTCCCGCCCCAGGCGTAGTACCCCGAATGAGATGAAAGCCCCGGCGATGGCAACAACATATTATCCACCGATGGCTGGCTGAGCGTTGCGCCATCGTTTGGAGTGCCATCGCTATTATCGGCGATGATGATGGTCCTCTCAAAGTCCATGCCAACCCCGGACGTGTCCAGCTCGGTTGGCCTTTGTCTTTCCTGCACTTGAGCAGATTCTAGTTGGATGCCCTCTTCCTCATCTCCTTCCACAGCCTCTTCAACAACACTCGCTGCTTGTGCCGTCGACACCGAGAGCGGGGCCTCTAGCGCCATCTTCATGCCGCCTGGCTGCTCACTCGCAAACAACAGCAGCTTCTCTGCAAACTGCGTTCTGCTGTTCGGGCTTGCGCTAAGGGTCTTGACAAAGAACTCAAGTGGATCAATTGCAATGGTCCCTTTCCTCCTGTCACCTATCACGAAGCCGCCATTGCCGGAACCTAGGCCGTTGTACGCACCTAAGACGTTCATGCACCACGTGCCAATCTCGAATATCTTTTCGAATATGCCCATGCCATGCACCTCGACAGCACTGGGCGGGAGGGTGGCGAGGATGGAGGTGGTGCGCTGCGCAATTGCTAGCGGAAACGAGAATTGCATGCTTTCATCCCTCGATGATCCGCTCAGTAGACCCTGTTTAAATGAGCTCTGCCACACAATCAGGCGCAACCATTGCTGCGTGATTAGAAGGTCCGCCTTCTGGATGTCGGTAGGCTCAGAGTGGGATTCAGACTGATAGTTGCCACTGCCATCACTGTCACCGTCATCACTGAGCGAAGTGGAGGAGGAGTTACAAATTGGATTAGCACCTGCAGCGCTAGGAACACTTGCATCTTGTGAAACTCCATTCGTATTCCCGACAAAGAGACTCGCTGCTTTGGGCCTCCGGGCCAAGAACGACGGGGGGATGGCGAGCCGGCTTTGCAGCGCGAGGTACGTCGTGGCACTGACACGCGGGTCAGAACCATCGTTCCACGCAGCAACAAAAGATTCATCAAGGGGCACATAGGATGATATGAGCTGGAGAAATCCAGAGTGGATGTCGGGCGACTCGTACGGATGGCGTCGGGTGGGAAGCCTCGGGGTCTTTTTGAAGACAATGGGTTTGTTGCGGAGAACAGCAAAGGATCTTGATATTGATGTCAGCCCACTACGTCAGATTGTTGGAGGTATGGAGATAAGATGGAGGCTCACCGTTCAGTAACAAAAAGCTGCCAGAACACGCGCTGCCGGCAAAGGGCGTCCTCTGGGTTCAGTCCCTCATAAGTCGCGTCATCCTGGAGGCCAAGATCGAGAGCAAAGGTCAAGGCTTCCCGGAGATAGTACCACGACTTACGGGACTCGGATATCTCAAAGAACGAGGTCGACAACCAAAACGACGAGATGATGGTGGATATTGACAAGTCTTGAACAAAGTCGTAGGACTGTCTGACCGCAATACACTCATCGAGGAAGTAGCGACCTGCCTTCTCCCATGAATCAGGCCCCTGAGCCTGTATACTCTTGCCCGACATGTGAAAACACGTCAAGGCGGATAGAGCGTAGATAAGGTTCTTCTCCGAGGGCTCCAACGGACGGAGGATCATTTCGCGGATGGCCGGCATGTATAAGAGAGGCATGATTGGGTAGATATGTTCATAGTAGAGACGCACGCATTGCGGGATGAGATGGTCGTAGCTTCTACTCGTCGGGCGATACTGTTTGGTGGTGAAGCCACCGCTGTGGTCTGTGTGGACCTGAGCCCACGCCATATCCTGAGGGGACGATGCGCCAGAGGTGGCGCGTGACGTGAAACCAGACTGCGGGCCCTCATCGGTGCCCATATCGAAGCTATGGCGGCGTGAGAAAACTCCAGGGTCAGTTGAGGATACACAGGGGTTGGGACCTACTCGACACTCGTTCCACGCGCTGGGTGCTTTTTCTCATGCGCCTCCTGCGCCCTGAGCTCGTTGATGACACGGCCATGACCTCGCTTGGGGCCCCTTTTACGGGGAACATGGTCTCGTTTGCACGTCAAAGAGGCATTCTGGCATTGCTGGCAGGGGGACTGGAGGTCGCAGCGAATTCCTGTGGGAAAGCATCAGTCAGGTTGGTCCGCAAAAATAAATAAGGAAGCACATGCAAAAAGACAAGAATTAATGGAGCAAATGATGCGACGAAAGCACACAATACACACACAAAGAAACACCAAAAAAGATGAGACCTGCATACTTCTTTTTCGACAGTAGTCACACACTGGCAGCTTCGACGCCGACACAGCGGCCCGAGCTGACTGCGGCACTGGAGCGGCAGACGTTGTTTGGCCAGGACCGGAGCCGGGCGCAGAGGAGCTCGGGGCCCGTTTGCGTTTGGGCGATGACTCGGGATTGGGACAGGCAGGAATGGAACCGGGGCCGTGGCTCTGGTTCACGTCCTCTTCCGACTTCATGGCCCCTCTTCTCCCTCTCCCTCCTCGACTTGCGACTGGGCCAAGCGTGTGGGCCTGCGGGCAGAGCTATTTGAGGGCGGGTATGCACGAGCGGATGTGGATGTGTGCTATCGTCTTATCGCGCAGCGCAGGTCGCCCCCTAGAGTTCGTGGACGTTAGGACCCTGCGTCGTCTGGGTTTTGGCTGCAGCGTTGCGCAATTGTGTTGGGAAATGGGGGTCCCAGAATGAAGGAGGAAGCGAAGGTTTCAGCGAGCGATGCTGCGAGGACGGTGAAGGATATCCGGGAGGAGCTGACTGATGGCTGGGGATGAGATGGCACCACCCCGCAATCTATCTGTTCTTGAACCAGCTCTTCGTCCGAGTTCCCAGCGTCCCAGCTTCTCTGCGGGGGCGACGAAAAGTGCGGGGCTCGCAGCCGCGATGTCGCGCTGGGGCGCCTCGCTTTTCCTGGAGCCTTGGTTCTACGCCATGGACCAATCGCCATGGCCATGTTTTTGGCTGTTGGTATCCTGAAGCGGGAAACTCGAGCGCCTTTCGAAATCGGCGTCGTTCGTGAAAGTCCAATCTTCAAAAACGAGGCTCTCAGATCTGCGTTCTGCTGCGTTTTGTTGGGGATGACCGGCAGGTGCAACGGGCGACAGGGGGGCGTTGGACCCTCAAATGACGGACGCCAAGTCTTACTTGCCAAGTAGCCCTAGAACTAGTCGAGCAGCGACCCTCGGATGGCAGGTACGACTTCGTTCCTAGACGATCGTTCAGGCGCAATGCTGTGACTGCTGTCGGAATAAGCTTCCGCTCTGGGCAGGAACGGTCGAGGGTGCTTTCCATGTCATTTTGGTGGCGAGGTGATTGCCATAAGAAGGAAGAACGCCGCTATCACTTTTTTCCTCATTCCACGGTCGTTCCCTAAGCGGCGTGTTCCCCCCTGACTTAACAGGCATGAAAGGGGTACAAGGACGACGATGGGAGAATGCCTTTGAGGCTAATGACGTAAAGATAATTCGCGGATACCTTACCCGGTTTCAGCGAGGTTGCTGTACAGTTTAGGTTCCAGGCTGGTATTGAGGGTAAGGTTTGGTTTGGGAAAACACATCAGTCCCCAGGTGCCAAACGTCGAGTCCTGTGGAGCCATGGAAGTTGACAACACAGGGATAAGTTCCTCAGAAACCTAGGGTCGCGTCTAATTCGGACGGATATGGCCACTTGGAAGCAATGGCTTTCTCATTAGCCATTTCCTTATTGATAACGACCGATGATTGGGGTCAGCCTGATGGAAGCCATAATAATCACATGCAGTCTACCCGCTATGCTCCCAAAACCCAACCAAGTAGCGCTGCTATTTATCGCATATCATACCATATCTACATATGTACTTATTGTTTTACAGCTCGTCTTTGAAGAAGACCTCTTCGGAGCCTTCGCCCTCGGAGTCGTCCTCTTCATCCTGCCTAGCCCCCCCACCAGCACCAGACCTCCCATTCCCGTTCCCTTTCCCGTTCTTGCCGGCACCGTCGCCCTTTCGTTTCGCCTGGCCACCGCCGCCAGCGACGGCTTCATCTTCAGCCTCAGCTGCATCGTTCACCTCAACGAACTCGATTTGGTAGCCAGTGTCGGCCATGAGATCCTGTAGCCTTTGGTGGAGCTCCTCGAGTTCCTCCCGAGTCCCGGGCTTGGCCACGTTGTCCTTCTTCGGAGTAATGACGCGTTCTATCACCACAGTCTCTCCTGCAGTGGCTGTCTTGCCCGTAAACTGCCGAGCCGCAGGCATCTTAGCCAGCGGCGCTCCGTCTTCGCCCGAGCCCAGCGTGCGCCGCGCCCCAACAACGATGCCCCCGATTGTCATGCCGGAAAAGGGATTCGCAGCAGCAGCAGCAGCATCCTTGGCCACTTTACCCGCCGCTGCTTGCTGCTGATCCTGGTGCAGCTGCTGCTTTTGGTACTGGAGATCCGTGACAGAA